CAAGCTTCACGAGGAATGTGGAGTTGTCGGAATACACGGAGACCCTGAAGCTTCTCGTCTTTCTTACTTGGCTCTTCACGCGCTGCAACACCGTGGCCAAGAAGGAGCAGGAATTGTAGCCGTTAATCCGAACGGTCTCGAATCAATCACAGGCGTCGGATTAGTCTCAGAAGTGTTCACTGAGTCCAAACTAAACACTCTTCCAGGCAACATAGCGATAGGACATGTCCGGTACTCGACTTCCGGAGCCTCAATGCTCAAGAATGTTCAGCCTTTCATCGCTACCTGCAAATTAGGATCACTCGCGGTAGCGCACAATGGTAATTTCGTGAATTACAAGCAACTTAAGACAAAGCTCGAGGAAAAAGGTTCGATCTTTATCACAAGTTCTGATACCGAGCTCGTTCTTCACCTGATCGCTAAATCTAAAGCCAAGACGTTCCTTTTGAGGATCATCGACGCTTGCGAGAAGCTTCGAGGTGCTTACTCGATGGTTCTTGTCTTTGAAGACAAGCTTATTGCTGTTCGAGACCCGTTTGGGTTCAGACCACTTGTGATGGGCAGAAGAAGCAACGGAGCTGTTGTTTTCGCCTCCGAGACTTGCGCATTGGACCTTATCGATGCGAGTTATGAACGTGAAGTGTGTCCCGGCGAGATTGTGGTTGTGGATGGAGATCATGGAGAAAGCTCAGTGTTCATGATCTCTCACCCTGAACCGAAACAGTGCGTTTTCGAGCACGGTTACTTCTCGCAGCCTAACTCAATCGTCTTTGGCCGTTCTGTGTATGAAACCCGCCGCATGTACGGCGAGATCTTAGCTACGGTGGCACCTGTGGATTGCGATGTCGTCATCGCAGTGCCAGACTCAGGGACAGTGGCCGCTCTTGGATATGCAGCCAAAGCTGGTGTGCCGTTCCAGATTGGTCTTCTAAGATCACACTATTCTAAACGCACGTTTATAGAACCGACTCAAAAAATCCGCGATTTTGCAGTGAAGGCGAAGCTATCTCCTGTCCGAGCAGTTCTTGAAGGGAAGCGGGTGGTAGTAGTGGATGACTCTATTGTCCGAGGAACCACGAGTTTGAAGATAGTTCGGATGCTTAGAGCCGCGGGAGCAAAGGAGGTCCATATGAGGATTGCATTGCCACCGATGATCGCGTCATGTTACTATGGAGTGGACACACCGAGGAGCCAAGAGTTGATCTCTAGCAAGATTAGTGTGGAGGAGATCCAGAAGCATATTAATTGCGATTCTCTGGCGTTTCTACCATTAGATAGCTTGAAAGAAGTCTATGGACCGGTCGAGTCACACAGCTATTGCTACGCTTGCTTTACTGGGAAGTACCCCGTCGCCGCAACAGAGACTGAAGAGGAGAAGGCCTAGAGAGAACTCAACGCTCTCTGAATTATTACAATCAGAAACCTCTCCTATCTTCTTTACTTTTTAGATATTTCGAAGCATACTTTTTAATTTTATGATACTATGGTAGATAATTAGGTAACATTCATTGTTTTCGAATGCTTTCTACTTTAAACGAAATCATCAGATTTGTGTTTATTTAACTATTCGAAACTCCAAGATAATATTTTATTAAGAAAAAATTGATCATCATAGTTTCATCCATGTTTTGAATGAGATTGATCTTACAGAAGATGTGGTTGAATCAGCCGTTTTCAGCTCGGTCATAAGCGTTGGATTTGTGCTTGGGGGCAAACGTGAAGCCTTCGGGAACCTTTCCGAGTAGCAATTCCGATATCCGCACCTGCACATTGTAATATTATATCAAACTTGAGTTCATATAGTCCAAAGCAAGATGCCAGAATGAAGGAGAAGTAGATTACACACCCAGTCACCCGCGGATTCAGACATCATGAGTGTCTCAAGATCATCACGACCAAAGTAAGAAGGAGGACGCCAATTGATTTGCTGCGGTGTCACATCAAGTAAACCAACAGGTATGTACCTAAACGTGTAGCTTAGCCACTCCAGCAAGAAATGCCTAGTTGTCTCCACTCCTGTATAAAAGGTTTATATAACGGCAGAGCTTTAGCCACAAAGGAAAGAGCATACCAGTAATACGTAGTTTCGATTCCATGCTGTGTGTGTTTTTTACCTTTTGTATCGGATCCCCAATGTTGAAGACCAAATCGTACAAAGTCCTTCAAGATGTTAAGTCTTTCCCCGGAGGTAATGTCCCAGTGCCGTTGCTCTTTGATTTCAGTAAATATCCAAGGCTGCACAAGTCAAAAGCCTGTTAAGATAAACTATAGAATGATTTACTAGGGAGTGATTAACAGTATTAGGTCATACACACACCTTGATCAGTGCTCCACGAGCAATCATGCAGCTAGACAACTCGGGACAGTCAGACTTGTGTTTGTTCCAGTCTAAATAAGAGTACACATCTCCATTTCCTATAACTTGTAGGTTAGAGGGAGCGTTTCTGGTACACCGGTATATATAATCCCAATCCGCAGACTTGCTATAACGTTGCTGTCTTGACCGTCCATGAATTGTCACTGCAGTGGCTCCCCAATTTCCGATGTCTGCAATTAATGAATCTATCCGATTCTTACCCTCAAAGAATGCCGTACGTACCTGGGCACCCAAAAGGACAGGGCAAGTAAGGAGTGATTAACTTTCTGATTTGAATTTATCTGATTATGATATAAGCTTAGGCAGTTACCTTGATAGTGATAGGCGTTTCAACAATGGAAGAAGAGACTTCCACGATGTTCTTCATTCGTAATGGTTTGTTGAGAAGAGCTGAACCAGCACTTTTGTTAACAACCATATCTATTGGGCAGCCCATGTTGATGTCTATGAAATCAACCGTGCACTCTCGATCTATAAGCTCAACTGTGCGCGACACCGTGTCAGGAAACGAACCGCAAATCTGAACACCAAACAGATCTTCTGATGAATGCCGTCTAAGCAGAGCCCATTCCGAAGCTTGGCCCTATAATAAATCATTTTACAGGTTTTCACATTATTACCAAAAATAATTGTTTGATCATGTATTTGTACATAACTGAGACGGTAATTAGTGGGCTAACCTGCAAAAGATTTGTGCACATAGCCATCTCACCACAAGTCACATCTGCTCCCAACACTTTGCAAAGTCTTCTGAAGGGAAGATTGCCCACAGTTGTTAGGGGTGCAAGGTACAACTTATCCCTAAAATCAATAAGCTTTTTCTTTTCACGAGGGTGCAACTTTAGACTATTATCAGTTTCAACAATTTTGATACAATTTTCTTCCTCTACTTTGGCTTCCGAACGAGAATGCCCGTTCTTTTCTGTTTCCTCTTCCACTTTCACGCCTGTAATAATACATTTAATGGAAACATTAGCATGTTTCCCATCTCTTTAATACATAACTAAGAGATATAACTTGATAATTTTGAACATCTGAAATATGCAAACACCTGAGACATTCAAGAAAAAAACAAATCGGCATTTTGGGAATGGTATTTTTCAAAGAAAAGAAGTAAGACTAACCGTTATTGACTCCACCAACTTCAACAGATTTCAAATTCTCTTCATCATCAGGTTTGGCCTTTTTCATCGGCCGAACTTCTTCAGTTTCTAATGGTCCAGGAATTTCAACATCTTCAATCATTTCTGATGTAGGCTCAGAGGTGACAGCTTCAGTGCCATTCACGCCATTTTCATTTTTCTCTGCGTTGTTTTCTTCTGCAACATTGCTTTTTTTGGCATGCCCCTAGAAATTGCATGAAAATAAAGAGACAAACCAAGAACAATCATACCTCATGCAAATAGATATGGGATTAAAAATGCAGTATATGACATGCCAGAGAATCTTGACAACACACAACAAATAGTGGAAATAAACAAAATAAATACTCTGTAAAACTTACCAACAAACCGAGGGACTTGAGTTTTGCATCTGCTTTGACAAAAGTCATCTTATTTTTCCATAAAAGCCTCTGCGTATCTTTGTTAAAAAAGTTAATCTCCGAGTTTTCCTTCCCATCTGAATTACCAGCAACATCTCTGTGAGTACCAAAGAATCTGCATGATAAACCATATGCACACTTCATTTCAGAGGCCACAAATGGGCATTGCCCCTCTATATCCTCTGGTTTCTGCAGTTACAACAAAAACATATTGTAAGTTAATTTCTTTCTCAATATCAACCAAGCTAGTTGACGAACGAAATCAGTATCAGTACCTGAGCCTTGAAAGCTTCAATATCATGATTAAACCGACACTGCTCTTTATACTGACAAGAATTAACATCTTCTGTTCTCGAAACCTGTGGACAGAGATTGATGGCAGATTTCTGCAAGAAAGAGCATGGCAGATTCGGTTCACTATCCAGAAACCATTATCAATAACCATTTTCTAACACTAGCCAAAAACCAACTCTTACTAACACAAATGCACAAATTCTAACCAAAATAGCCATGGTTATGTAATGCCTCATCTCTGCTTTCTACACTATACTTGTCAAATATTGGATGAATCAAATACCTCGCGTCGTTCACGTTTGAGTTGTCGTTTAGATTTCTTCTCCAGGACCAATGATTGAGGCGCTCTAACGTCGTCGCCGTCATTTTGCTTACCCGAACGGCTCGGAGGAGGACATAAGAACTCTTTCTTAATAGGAGCCATGAATCGTTCTATAAGCTCTTCCGAAGTAGCTTCATACACAGAGAACTGCTTCGTCGACTGTTCCGGCGATTTAACCGGTAAATCAGGCTTTGCATCTCCTTCAATACTCGTATCCGCCGCGAGCTCCGCTACTACATCGGCCATGGCGGACGAATCGGCTTGATTACAAGCTCCGAAGTCGCGGGAAGAGATACGAAGGGAGCACGAAAATGGAGTGAGTGGTAATGTAGTTAGGGTTTTAGATATTTTTTACGGAGACGAAGGCAACCATTAAAACGACGAGAGAAACAGCGTTTTGGGAGGAAGTGAACATTCATGGGATGTTTTTAATGGGCCAATAAAGAGGCCCAGCCCGTTAACTACAATTTTCCCAACAACAAAAATACAAAGAGACAGAATCCAAATTG